AAGAATGCAGGTACGAGTTGACGATATATTTTCTGCTCCTTAGCATTTTGGTGGTCTTGCTTCCTTGAACACATTCAGGGATGGAGAGTTCCTCCAAGTAGATGTATTTGGGGAAGGTCCTACCTCTAATGTAACCATAGCTTGCTCTGCTGGTCCAGTCTGCCCTCAAAAATGATGAAGTCCTGTTCTTCCCTCAAGTGACAACCCCATTTTCTACAAGTTTTAATAGCCTTCAGTATTTTCAAGTTAACTCCCTACTCAAGAGTGGACTGTTGTTCAGTTGCTAAGTCATCTGTGACTCTTTGTGACCCCATGGACTGCAGCATGCCATGTTGCCCTGTCCTTCACTACCTTCTGGAGTTTGCTCAAACTCATGTCTGTTGAGTTGGTGATGCCATCCAACCATCTCATCCTCTGTTGCCCTCTTCTCCCTCTTGCCCTCAATCTTTCCCAGCATTAGTGTCTTTTTCAATGTTGGCCCTTCGCATCAGATGGCCAAAGTAATGGAGCTTCAGCATCAGTCCTTCCAGTGAATATTTAGGGTTGAAACTCTGTAATCAAGAGTGGATGGACCTCGGATTTTTTGAAATGTTGAACAGAAGCAGAGAGAAAACTACTGCTAGTGAGCAGCCCACACCTTTCTGTTCCTATAGATTTTAACTCACCGTTGGGACAGTGCATGTATTTTAGGAAAATGCACCCTTTTTATAAATAGGAAAACACTTCTGGTTCCAGCAGTATGGCATATTTTGCTAATACAGAGCAGTTTCTAGCATAAACACACCCAAATCCTGGATAAAATATTACAAGGACGCAGGCAAGCCAAGAAGGAAAAAGAGTAAGTTTATGGCTGAATTTGCAAGAAGAGAAATCAGCAGGAGCCAGAAACAAAGATGGAAACAGAGGAACCAGGGGGTGGCCTGACACCTCTCATCCTGGAGGTGGTTACTGGACAGGGAGTTGGGCTTCATCACACACTATTGATGGGAGATGGGATCTCGGGTCCGTGCAGTACTGGGAGTTTAAACTGAATCCCTTGTATAAAGACTGGACACCCCTGACTGCCAGACTATATAGTTGGGGGCCCCACAGTGGAAAAGGCAGGGGAGGCCCAAGTTTCCAAATATAATTAGCTTCAGGTCCTGCTTTCCCCCTGGACATACGTGTATGGGTGTATGCTTTCCAAAGAATCAAGACTGACAAAATTTATATTTTAGCTTTGTAACTGAAGCTTCTATTTCCAAGCACTAGGAAAATTTGTCTGTGTGGGCCAGAGCCTCAGCTATTTCAGTTACTCCAACCCTGCTAAATATCTGACTTTTGTTCTCAACACATTTGATAGAATTCATGTCTCATGCAGCTGCTGAAAACCCAAAGGGGGAAAAGAACCTCTGAATTAAGCTTATTAGTTTTTAACTGCTGCGTAACAAATACCACAAAGTGGCTTAAAATACAAATTTATTATCTTTTAGCTCTGGAAGTCAGAAATCCAAAATGGTGATGCTGAACTCTTTGGCTTATCCCTAAAACTCTTTATCTTTCCTTCAAACTTACTTTTGTCATTTTTGGTTGCGCTAGGTTGTCACCGCTGCCTGTGGGACTTCTCTAGTTGTACTGAGGGGCTGCTCTCCATCGTGGTGCGCATGTCTCTTACTGCAGTGGCTTCTCTTGTTGCGGTGTGCTGGCTTCGCTGCCTTACAGCACGTGGAACCTTCCTGGACCAGAGATCGAACCCGTGTCCCTTGCGTTGGCAGGTAGATTCTTACCACTGGACAACCAGGAGTCCCTCTCCTTCACATTTAAATGATCCCTCACTGGGCATTCCTGGTTGTATGATTTTTCATCACTTGGCAGTGAAAGCAGTGTCCTAACCACTGTCGGTTGAGCTGGGCCTCTAATTGTGACTTGTGGGTCCCATGGCCTGTGGGATCCTAGTTCCCTGACCAAGGATAAAACCCACGTCCCTTGCATTCGCAGATGGATTTTCAATCACTGGACCCCCAGCAAAGTCCCTGGAATGTTTTATGATAAAAGCAGCTACTATTTCACAAGTGATTGTGCCAAATGCTCTGAAAAGAACAGTTACTGTCTACAGTATTAGAAGACAGTTTTATAGCTGAGTACACAGCTTGCTTTCTATTGCATATTCCTCTCATCTATGTAAGTTACCTCCGGCTCCTTTTGGCCCTTGGCCAGAAGACCCACTGTCCTACTTTCACAGCTATTAAGTACAAACTGATGTAGTTCAAGCTCTCTCTTCAGCAGCTTTCTCAGGCTCCAAAATGATTCCATTTCCTCTTAAAAACCAAACACCCCTTCTTTTCTCCTGACCTTTATTTAAGGCTACCCCACACAGATAGCACCACCTTAGTGAAATGCCAATGAACAGAACTTAGAAAATCAACAGATGTTAACAGTGGGTGACAGTTTGAAAGGAACTGGATGTTTAATAGGCCCTAGTTACCTCCCACAAATTACTGATTATAAAGGGGAAAAGTGACTTTATATAAGTGAATCAGGTTATTATTAGAAGATGCCATTAGATATGATATACTGAAGACAATCTCATTCTTGGGTGATATTTCTGCCAAAAATGCAATCATGAGGAGACATCAGACAAACCCAAATTGAGAAAACTTCTACGAAATCATCCTTTACTCTTCAAAAATGACAAGGTCAAGTAAGGTTGAGGACCTGTTCCAGTTTAAAGGAAACTAAAGTCATGATAACAAAAAAGAGTAAATGATCCTAGGGCCAGTGGAAATATATATAAAGGACATTATTGGACAACTGACAAAACAGTGGAAAAGACAAGATTATATCAAAGCTAATTTCCTGGTTGTGTTAAAACGCCATAGTTAGTATGAGAACATCCCTGGAAATACACAAAGTTTTAAGAATAAAACAGATGTCTCTAACTTACCTTTCAGATGGCTCAGGAACAGTGTAAGTAAAATAAAATATTATTGGAAAATGGCAAAGGGGATATAACTTTGTACTATAGTGCAAATTTTCCCTAAGTTTGAAACTTTGTCAAAACAACTGTAAAAGAAGCCTGCTCATTCAGGTTTCTTTCGTGCTTTTCACGAAGAGGAACTGAGTATCTGAAATAGGTGTTTTTTTTTTTAAAAAACACTTTTTAAGACTGTTAGGAACTGAACCAGGATTTGAATCCTGCCTGTTAACAAATTCCCTTACAAATGTCATAACTTCCACAGTAATGATCTCAAAAAACTAGTAATCCTGATTTCCTTCAAGGGGTCAAGGTTGGAACTTACTGTTTATTACCCGTTTGTATTCACTTTCTGATTTCTGAACCATTTCTTTCTATTCACTTTAAGTTAATCACTCTACTAATCACTACCCTGGGGCCCATCTGTGAAGTTGCTGTAAAACAGGCAAATCTAAGCAAGCTACTTAGGATCTAGAAGACCAACTACAAAATACAACTGCACCTACTCATCCTTTCAATTAATGGTCGCATACATGGTTTTAGGCAGAGGAAGTTTAAGATGTGGTTGCTGCTTCAAAAAGCTAAAAATTTAGAGAATCCCCAGGCAGTTCAGTGGTTAGGATTCCATACTTCTATTTTAGTGCCAAGGGTTTAGGTTTTATCCCTCCCTGGCTGGGGAACTGAGATCCTCAAGCTGCACAGCTTTACAAAAAAAAAAGAAAAACTTGAGTATAAACTGATAATTACGAAGTGCTACAATGTTTTAAGAGCTCTAAAATATATATTTTGTGAAGGACTATTGGTTATATAAACCAAAAAATTACTTCCTTAAAAAAGCTGGCACTGAAAAAAAATTCTTCTGTATCTATTTCATGGTAGTGCGCCATTTAGAGCGGCAGATCTCTGTATTACTCTCAGTAAAAGTGAGCTGCAGAACACACTCACGGTATGAACTGCTTACTGACGAACACAGGCATTAAAGATGGATTAGCCTGGGTAAACACAGTGTTAGAAGCAGCTACCTTAGTGCATGCATGCTAAGTCGCTTCAGTTGTGTCTGACTCTTTGTGACCCTACAGTCTGTAGCCTGCCAGGATCCTCTGTTCAAGGGATTCTCCAAGCAAAAATACTGGAGTGGATAGCCATGCCCTACTCCAGGGGATCTTCCTGACCCAGGGATCAAACCCTTGTCTCTCCTGTCTCCTGCATTGACAGGCACTTGCACCACTTGGGAGGCTACATTAATAAGTGGACGCTAGAAGAGAGATACTTTACAAAACATTCCATTTTCACAAGACTAAAATTGCACACAACCACAAAAACTGAAGTCTGAAAACATTTTCTGAAAGCAAGGTAAATAAGAGTGAAATTAGGTTGAGGACTTGGGCAAAGATGACCTGAGTTTCCTAGTTTATCTGGGTAATTATCACAGAAAATGTTCAAACTGCTACAAGATAAAAGGAGGTAAATTTTGTGTGAAATCTAAAGACTTAGTTGAATACAAAAGACTTAGCATGTTTAGCCCTTCATAACAGCAATTATTTATTATGGTGCTAATCTAAGTACTTTTCATGTATTAAACTTTTCTCTTCACAACCCATGAGGGGTTATCCCTCCCACTGTGGATGACACTGAGGCACGAAGGTTTAATGGCTTGCCCCAGATATGATGATGATGATGATGGTCACTCAGTCGTGTCCGACTCTGCGACCTCATGGACTTCTCCAGGCCAGAATACTGGAGTGGGTAAGCCTTTCCCTTCTCCAGGGGATCTTCCCAACCCAGGGATTGTTGAACTCAGGTCTCCTGCATTGCAGGCGGATTCTCTTTACCAGCTGAGCCACAAGGGAAGCCCATGATAAACCATCTATTAATACCATGTTGGTCCTAACCTCATGTTTCTGAGCTGAAAAGTCCTTTTCTCATGTTCAAGTCAGGAAAGAAAGAAAACTTGATAATGGCAACTCTGATTCAAAAAAACCAAATATCAGATATTTGCCAAATATCTGATGCTAAGTGGGAATACACAAGAAACTCAAATCAAGTCTTTCCCTCAGTGAACATTTTATTGAGGCAATAAAGCACAAAATAGGTTAACAAAGTGGGAGAAAGAAGATACCAAGAGAAAAGACGGTAACAACACAGGAGTGGAACGTGAAGTCACAGGGCAGGAAAGACTGAACTGGCCATAAAGGCACTACGGCATGTTAACACACTACCAGGTAAAAGATCGGGGGATCCAGGTTCTCACACTTCTATTCTGCTCTCTACCAGCTTAACACTCCCATCTAGCCACAGGTAAAAACGTGGCAAGCTGCAGAGACTCAAGATTCTACTTAAGTTAGCAAGGAACTAAACATTTTATTGGTCAACTCTAAGTGGGCCAGTGTTTATATAGAAACAGTGGTTTAGCATGTCCAATGATGGGGGTCCACAGGCGTGGAATAGGAACTAGAGATTTAATAAACTGGTGTTTGCTATTAAATTCTTATGGGTGCAGGCATTAACCTATACAATTACCCACCTGTGGGGGTGGGAGCTAACGAGGATAGACAAACCTGCCTATTACCATGTGATGTCATAAGAAAGCCCAGATGAAGGATGCTGCATACTTTTAGAAAGTCATATTGTATATTGTAGTATTCCCCCCTCCTTCACTTTAAAAGGCTGTGGTTTTAAAAGCTTTTGTTCTTTCCCTGAAAACAAGAGAACTTTGGTCAAAGCCAATTCTTAAAAGTAACTTGTCCTTAAACACATTTTGAAAGGCAGTGGAGACTTGCTTCTTTATGCAACAGTCAACTTTTTTTCTTTGAAACAGGCAGAACAATGAACTATAATTACAGATACCAGTTTTTTCTCTCAAAATCCAAGGTCTATATGGGGAAACAAAAACAAACCATATTTCTTATGAATATCTAAAAAAATATCAGAAGCATTTAAGAAAATAAGGTCGTCAAAGAAGCATCAACCTTTTGGGGCACTATGTTCCCAAGATTAGACTCTTTAAGATTTCGTAACAGGAAGCCCAAAAATTTCTCAAAATAACGGTATCCATCACACTGTACCCTAACACTACCCAGCCCTTGACATCTTATACACTGACAGCTCCTAGAAAGATGTTAAAGCTGAGCCAAACAACCTACAGCCCAATTTCAGACCAAGATTAATGAATGGTTTTTCAAATGAAATTACCTTAATGAGCCTGAACAGATAGATATAAGGTAATTCATTTCTCAAACTGCAATTTCGACTAACTAGGCTTACGGACGTAAGGACTAATTGTAACCCAGCAACTCCTATGAATTTGCAGATAACTAGGGTTTAACCCATTTCATTTAAGTTTTTTCCAAGCCAACCACATAAAGTTCATAAGGATGATCTAACCAATTATCACAGAATCCCACTAACTACAAAAGGATGACTGTTAGGCAGAATTTTGCTTTAAATGGTAATTGATTTACCAAATGATCTGTTAAGTGCCTGTTAATATTAAGGATTTTCCAATAGAAAACACAGTATTTGCTTTTCCATTTTGAATAACATACTAAATTTCTGATCAAAGAAAGGTTACTTCTATTTTTACATAACAGTAAAGATCACGGAACCTTACTCTTACAAAATACTAATTACAATGATCACTTTCAGAAAGTGGGATTACCAGGCTAGATGAGATCCCAAGTATTAGAACTACATTTTTGAGTTCAACCAATTTAAGTTTAAAGAACATTTTAAAAAGCTAGTAACTTAGGCAAAACTGTATAACAGGTCCACTACAAAATCTTTTATTTTTAACTTAAACCTGTTTAAGGGGCCAAAATGACTTTGGCAAATTTGATTAACAGCACAAAATAACGTATCCAAACTTATTGCATCTGAGACTTGCCTTGTTTTACACTTAAGTAGAGTTTACATCGTTTCCACAGATGTACTGATAATCTGTATCTCGAGGAATTTATAAGAGTGACCTATTCAAGTAAGGCAATCATCTTGGTAGCAAACTTTTATTGAAATCTTACATAACTCAAGCTTTATAAAAAGCCAACATAATTGAAAATTGGGTACTCCCTCTAAAGCCTTAAGTATTCAAAGCCTGAAACGGTTAATTTAAAATTAAGCAAACAAACATAACAATAACAAAACCCCTCCAGCAGATCCTGCTGAAATACTTAAAAAAAAAAATCTAAATGAGCTTAATCTTTACAAAAGTTATTTTAGCTCAAAAGCTATAAAATCAAAGTTATCTTAATTCTACAAAGAAGGGAGAGGATCTTTGACTTCATGCCATTGCTTTAGAACCTCATCTTTTTCATCAAATTTGGCTACAAATCCAATTTCTGTGTGCCCGTTTTGGGAGGTTTCTTCTTGCAGAAGAGGCCAAGTAGAAACATGAAAGAGTAACTGACTAAGCAAGTAGGAAAGTGTTCTGTAATAGTGTGCAAAGAATGGAGAGTTCTGGGTTAATCTCTGGAACTTGATCTGGATCGTGACCTTGACTTTGAACGAGATCTAGAATGGGATCTTGAAGCTCTTTTTGGTGCAGGGGACACAGAACGGGCCTTTGAGGGTGGAGCAGGTAGGGGTGAATTGGAACGGGATTGGCTCCTTGATCTAGATTTGGACTTTATATCACCTTTTCCATTTTCTTTGGGGGAACGAGATCGAGAACGAGACCTGCTTCGAGATTTCTCATACTCATCCTTCGATCTGCTCCGATACCTAGATCTGCTTCCAGAATAAGACCGCCTATGGCTTGTTCGTGGCTTATCTTCAATGAGTCTAATATTTCTCCCATTGATTTCTGTACCGTCCAGTTTATCCAAAGCACGCTTCATGTCAGAGTAGGAGCGAAACTCAATGACACCTTCATTTGTGCGTTCTTTGTGAGCATCTGCATAGGTTACTTCACCTGCTTGTCTCATGAAATCCTAAAAGAGCAATATGACTAGTCATTCCCAGAAATCTAAAGAAGAAAGATTTGCTGTATTTGATTCTCAGATATAAAAGAATACAAACTTATCTTTTATATGTTAAGTCAAATCTTTTACCCCAAATTATAACACTTACCTTTAAATCTTGCCAACTGCAACGACTAGAAAGATTTTCTACAATAAGTCTGAATTCTGTGCGTACAGGTGGTCCGTATTTGTCTCTCCCAGAGGTTCTCCGACTGCTGTATCCACCTCCACCACCTTTATCATGTGAAGAGAACAATTAGATGCTTTGCAATGATAGGCATGCGTAATGTTTTTGAAAGTTAGTACAAACATAACAACTTTCATTTACTGGAGTAGGACTTTGCTATTATACTGCTAAACCTTTGATACAGTTATGATTTGCCATAAATTAAATTAAGGGCAAGTCAAAACAGACTAAAACCAACTAAACTTCTCCTACATTCTGTTAGAGAGTGACTGCTCCTTTATTCAATTTACCTCGCTAAGTTTTATTTTACAGAACATTGTAAAATATAAAACTTAACTGATTACATGCATTTCTACATTTTACAAAAATGTTTACTAGTTACACTAAGTACTTACATCACAGTGTGAGGTTTTTGGTGGTGGTTTGGCCACAAAACACGCAAGGTAACAGTCACCTAGTTCAGATTAACCAGTTTTGTCTAACCCTTGGAATCCTCACCATCACCCTGCGTCTAATGGCAAAAGGCTGCTGTCGTCATGGCTTCCGGTAAGGTCAGCCAAAGGGTCATAGGGCAAGGGTCACACAATGTATGGAAAAGCCAAGGCCAATCAGGAAAGGCAGTCATCTTAGCCTCAGTGGACACAGCCTCAGCCCCATTGGTCACTTTCAAATTGAAACATCAAGGACTTGTTAAAAAGTTTGAATTCAACATGCAACAATTTCAACATCAAACATTTAACATAACCACCCCCACCCTCCTCCCAATAACATGCCCCAACTAGTGCATATACAGCATAAAGTTCATTTAGATCTCCTTTGTGGTGTAAAACCACCTTAGTTATATTTTCTTTGGCCCCCGTCAATTTTTGTAAAGCTAAAACCTACGCTTAAAACCCCACCTCATTCCCCGCCCCGCCCCCACCTCCACCCCAACCAGTCCCAAACTTCTACGCTGTCATTCACATTTCTAGCTAACGCACTGACAGGCAAGTTGAGGGGATACAACAAATACAGCCACCCCTCACTTCCTCTGTAGGTAGAGCCCACGACAGTGCTGACAGGGGCCCAACAAGTCACTCCCTCCCGACTTGGCAATTCCCGCCCCCAAACACCCAAACCCTGCCTAGGCAAAACCCACCACCCAGTCCCCGCGCTCCGGCGTCCCGTGTCTTCCCCGGGCAGGCGCGAAGGTAGCGAACCCCGGGAGCACCCGAGTCAAACGGCCGCGGCCACCTCGCCTGCCCGGCTGGGAGGCCCCACCCCGTCCCGCCTAAGCCTGCGCCCACCCCCCGGGGTCCCAAGGACGCGGAGCGCGCGGGGGTGGAACTCACTGCGGCTTCCGTAGCTGTAGCCGTCGCGATCCCGGCGCGGGCCGCGGGCGTGCTCCACGATCACGCGCTCGCCGCACAGCTCCTTGCCGTTCAGCTCGTAAACGGCGTCGTCGGCGTCGCGGGAGTCCTCGAACTCCACGAAGCCGTACCTGGGGGGCGGTGCGAGGGCCGGGCGTCGTTAGGTCGAGGGCGCGCACGCGCGCGCGCCCCCCTAGTCCCCGCGCGCTCCCGTGGCCCTGCCACGCGGCGCCGCGGCCTTGACCGTCTTCTCCCTCAGACGGGCCCGGCCACCGCAGGCCCGGGGCGCTGCGGGGGGACGCGGGCTGCCGGGGCCCGACTCACCCATTTTTAAGGTCTATTTCGAGAAGGCGGCCATAGCCACTGAAAAAGCGCTGAATGTCCTTCTCCCTGACGTTGTAGCTCAGGCGTCCTATGTAGACGCGCGGCATGTCCGAAGTGGGCAAGGGGCCCGAGGGCTGGCGGTCGAATGGCTGACCGCACGGCAATAGCCGCGGTGCGGGTGCGGTGACGGCGAGAGCCCGGACACGCACCTCACACCACAGCGGCGGCCGAGTCCAGCCACACAATGGTGCGCGCGCGCCTGGGCTACGCTATAAGGGCGGGCGGTAGGGGGCGGTGCCCGGCGTGTGACGTCAGCACGCTGCACGTACTCTCCCGCTCTGGAGCGCGGAGCGCGGCGCTCGAGGGTGACTTGCTGTTCCTCAGCCCGCCAAGTTTCGGGGAAGTGAGGCTTTACCCGCTCACCGAATTTTTTCCCACACATCTTTGTTAACGTCACATTCTGTCTCCATCCAAGGACTTGTTTTCTAATTTGTGCTTAAAAAAAAAAAAACCACAAACTTTCTCCATGCTAGCTAGCTCTTCAGGACGGGCGCTCGGGAGGCCGTCCCGGAGAATCCCCCTTTTTCATTGGTTCTGGAGGTTGTCATAATAGGCCTCCACGATCTCTGATTGGTCCCTCAAAACGAGGCTCGAATTTTCTTCGCGGATCGTTGGGCTCACGCTCCGCTGGTGTGGAAGGCACCTAGTCAGTGGGTTAAGTGCCCTTTTCCACAGCATACGAAGTTTCTGCTTCGAGGCCGTGTGGACCCGGAACGGGGTTCACAGCCCTGCTGGCTTCTGTCCTTCGTGCCCCCACAGCCGCCATTGCGGTCTCACTTCATTGCCTCCCAGTATGTCCAACTGTCCTTCCAGGAGTCTTTTGAAGCACTGACACTTGGAGTCACCTGCAGATTGAAGTATACATGGCAATCCCACGACCGCTGTGCGTCCTAAGTTGCTTCAGTCGTGTCCGGCTCTGTGCGACTCTATGGACTGTAGCCTGCCAGGCTCCTCGGTCCAAGGGATTCTCCAGGCAGGAATACTGGAGAGGTTTGCCATGCCCTCCTCCAGGGGATCTTCCCGACCCAGAGATGGAACCCGCGTCTTCTGCGGTTCCTACCTTGGCAGGCGGGTTCTCTACCACTAGCACCACCTGGAAAGCCCACTTGCTGTAGGTACTGACAAAGGGAGCAGGGCCAAGACCTCTGGCCCAACAAAGTTGAGCAAGACTTGACAGCCCTCCCACAGAGGTACACTCATTTCCTTTCCTCAGTGGAGCGTCCGTTGTGCCAACGTGATCCCTCCCCGCCCCCACCCGTTGGTTTGAAGGGTGTCTTATCTATGTGGCAGAAACGCACATTTTGGAGTTTACCACTAGAAATACTATTTAAACCGCAGAGGAGTAAGTTTAAGTGGAGATCAGAAGACCCTGGAGTTCTCTGAAACTGAAGTGCAGGAAAAGATGCTGGTAAGAAGTGACTGGAAAAGTGGGAAGAAGGGTCGGAGGACAAGGTGTAACGCAAGCTGAGGGGAAGGGGCATCATGGGGTTAATACTGGCTGTTAAGGTATCTTCCTGTATTCCAGCGGGGCAGCCTTGATCTACAGTTTCTGGGTTAAAGACAATGATTTTTCCCTCCACCTCCCCTCACGGGGGCATTTGGCAAAGTCTGAGAGTCTGTCGGTTGTCACGGCTGGGGGAGGGGGAGTGTTAATAACTGGCATCTGGTGGTAGAGGCTACACTGTGCTTAAAGTTAGAAAAATAAAATATATAGGTGGATCATAAAAATTTTGTGTGTGTTTGTGGAATATAGTAATTGGGGAAAGGAGAATTAATTGGATAACTTTTTTCACTCACTGAATTGTCAGTATTTTGAAGTTTGTTGAAATTCATTGTTGTCTGGGAATCCCCTGGAGGTCGAGTGGTTAGGACTCCACACTTTCACCGCCTTCGGGCCCAGGTTCAATCCCTGGTCCCGGAACTAATATCACATAAGCCGTTCAAAAGTTCATTATTGGCAAGAGGTGACACCCCACTCTGAACTAAGATGCATATGGGAAGTAGGGTGTCACCTCCTCTCTCCTTGCAGTTCATTTGTGCAGAGAAAGATGCAGCTGACATGTCCTCCTCTCCCTCACCTCTTTTTCTCCAGAGCCCAGGGGCTACTCTTTTTTTTTTTTTTCTGGCCACAGTGGGACCTGCAGGATCTTAGTTCCCTAACCAGGTGATGATCTTGGTGAGGCAGCAGTGAGCAATGGCATGAAATGAGATCTTAATTCCCTGCCCAGGAGTTGAACCTGGGTAGCTGGGATGAAAACCAGAAATCCTAGCCACCGGATCAGCGAGAGCTAGGGGCTAGAAGCTATTTCCCCCCTGGATCTTTGCCCCTGTAAAAAATGCATTTATCACCCAGAGGCAGAAACTGTAAATGCAGGTACAAAGTTTATTATTAGAGACAGAGCACAATGAGTGGGAGAGGACCTAGAAAAACAGTTTGTTTAGTTAAGACAGAAGCAAGGCAGAGATGCACACCTGGAGAGAAAGGGTGTGGGTGTCCTCCCTAGTGAGGAGGAGTGCAGTAAAGAGGCAGTTAAGACATTTATATAGGGCAGTTCTTCCGGGCCTTTCTCTTGCTTCAGGCCAATTACCTGTTTCTTTTTCCACACCTGACCTATCCTGGGACCCTCCCTTGAGCGCACACACACCCGTCAACCAACATGAATCTCGGAAGTAAAGGCTTCTGGAAGGTTGGTCTGACATTATCTCCTGACTTTTGACCCACAAGGGGCCTTTCTGTGCTGTGTAGTGTCTCCCTTGTCCCAAAAGAAGGGGAGACGGGAGACCTGTTAATCCTTTTTAAAAAAAATTATTTTTCAATTTTTGGCTGTGCTGGATCTTTGTTGCTGAGCAGGCTTTTCTATAGCTGTGGCAAACGGAGGCTACTCTATTTGCGGTACACAGGCTTCTCCTTGCAGTGGCTTCTCTTGACACATGGGCTCAGTTGCTCCCCAGCATGTGGGATCTTCCCAGGTCAGGGATCAAACCCCTGTCTCCCGCATTGACAGGTGGATTCTTTACCACCAGCCACCAGGGAAGCCTGATCGTTAATCCTTTACTCAAACAGGATCTTGCCCCTCTTTGTCCTTGCCATGACTATTACCATAAGGTGTTGACAAGAGACGAGCACTCTCTATTTACCCTGTTTCTGTTGTTACTTCCATTTCGGAGGGCAAACAGGGAGGCTGGTTGTAAATGACAGGCTGATTGTTAAGGCTCCTCCTTAACTGGAGCCCACCTCGCTCTTGTCTGATTGTTTTTTCACTGAGTCAGTGAGTTGGGGGTGGTGGGGGGGTGGTGAGCCCAAAGGGGTTCTCACTTCTGGCATCAAGGGACAGTGCCAGGTGGGGAGTTTGGGGCGGTACACCTGTCAAAACGGTAACGCAGGTTCCTGAGGTGAGCTTAGGGAGAACAGAAACCTGTGGAACAGAAGGGCTAAAGCTCGCTTGATCTTGATTTTCAGTATGAACACAGACTGTGAAAAGGGGGCCTCACAATCCTTCTGACTTTTGGGGTTTAAGCAGGAAGTGTCAGAAAAGTTACCACAGGGATAACTGGCTTGTGGCGGCCAAGCGTTCATAGCGACGTCGCTTTTTGATCCTTCGATGTCGGCTCTTCCTATCATTGTGAAGCCAAATTCACCAAGCATTGAATTGTTCACCCACTAATAAAGAATGTGAGCTCTTGTCTCAGGAAAGGCTGTTGTAGTATCTTGCCTGAAGCCCATGTCTTCCTGCCCTATAAAATGTAAATAGGAGGCCAGCTGTAAATGTCTACAATATGGAGCCCATCTATCTCCTACGTAACAGGGATCGATTGCCCCTTGCAATGGAAACACAGAGTCGTAACCACTGGACCATCAGGGAATTCCTTCCCAGTGGTTACTCTTATCGAAAAATTTAAATTGCCTGAGAGGAAATGGTCTCAGATATCATTATTGAAGGGACTGTTGGGCCAGCAGCATTCTGTGGAGTCTTGCTGATAATCTAACTTACTTAACTGTTGATATTTTGAAAGAACAACTCAAAGGAGAAATGATGGATGTACAGCATTTGGCAGTGTCTTAAGTGTCTATAATCATGGTGGCAGATAAAGATCACTGCTCACTTAAAAGCTGTGGAGTGCTTGTCAGCAAGAGAGGGAATCTGTCAGCAAGAGAGGGTGAAAGGAGCCGAAATCTGATCCAGAAGAGAGTTAATAACTTCAAATCCATGATTGTTGTTGTTCAGTCATCAAGTCGTGTCCCACTCTTCACGACCCCGTGGACTACAGCACGCCAGGCTTCCCTGTCCATCAACAACTCCAGGATTTTGCCCAAGTTCATGTCCATTGAATTGGTTATGCCATCCAATCATCTTACCCTCTGTCACCCTCTTCTCCTTCTGCCTTCAATCTTTCCTAGGATCAGGGTGTTTTCCAATGAGTCAGCTGTTCACATCAGGTGGCCAAAGTATTGGAGCTTCAACTATAGCATCAGTCCTTCCAAAGTGTATTCAAGGTTGATTTCCTTTAGGATTGACTGCTTTGATCTCCTTGCTGTCCAAGGGACTCTCAAGAGTCTTCTCCAACACCACAATTTGAAAGCACCAATCTTTTGGTGCTCTGCCTTCTTTACGGTCCAACTCTCACATCTGTACATGACTGCTGGAAAGGCCATGGTGCTTTAGTCGCTAACTTGTGTCTGTCTCTTGCCACCCAATGGACTGTAGCCTGCCAGGCTCCTCTGTTCATTGAATTTTCCTGGCAAGCATACTGGAGTGGGTTGCCATTTCCTTCTCCCGACCCAGGGATTGAACCCAGATCTCCTGCATTGCAGGCAGACTCTTTACCGACTGAGCTACAAGGGAAGTTGGATGGAAAGACCATAGAATTGACTATGTGGAACTTTGTCGGCAAGGTGGTATCTTTGCTTTTTAACACACTGTCTAGGTTTGTCATAGCTTTTCTGCCAACAACCAATGGTCTTCTAATTTCATGGCTGCAGTCACCATCCACAGTGATTACGGAAATTGTAAAGTACAATCTGGAGTAGGGCATAGTTGTTGTGGTTTTAAATCCAATAGGAATTCTTAACATACTTAGCTGGAAATCAAAAGTATTTCCCAAGCATCCATGTGATTCAAAGTGATATAAGCTGGTTTCTGACAGGTTTTGTTGTCTTTTGTTTGAAAATTTTATATACCAGAGGCTGTACTTTTGAATGGATTTTAACAACCCAAGAGGGTAAAGTGGAGTGAGTGTCTGTGGCAAACTATGGCCCCAGGCGCAAGCAGGCCTGCCTTTGAGTTTTGTAAATGAAATTCTTTTGAAGCACAGCAACATCCACTTAACTATTGTCTGCTCTTAAGTCACAACAGAGATTCAATAGCAGAGACTGCCCAGAAAGCCTACTTGCTGGTTCTTCACGGAAAGTCTGCTTACCTCTGACCCAAGTTAGGTATTTGTAAAGATGCCTCAATCCTATATGTGAACATACATGTCTGTAAGGGTTGGGTTTGTAGTTGTGTTTGGTCATTCTCAGAGGTGGGTCCTACCCAATCATTTCCCTCCTAATGCTCTCCGAACATTCCTTACTCCTCCTCCCACTTGCTTCTTCATGTGCCTTGAATGTGCCAAGTACCCACCCACCACATGGGCCTTTGCACTGACCATCTCCCAGAGTTTGGAGCTCTCTTTTCTGATGGTTCCCTCACTTTCTATGTCTGCTCAAAATCACTGTGTCACTTCTCTAGCCACTCATTTTATTTTTTCCCAGTTTTATTGAGATAGTATTGACATATAACCTGTAAGTTTAAAATGTGCAGTGTGATGATTTGATACATGTATATATTGCAAAATAATTACCACAATAAGGTTAGTTAACACCCCTTACCTCCATTCCCCTCACATAATAACCATTTTTGGAATGTGTGTGTGGTGATAAATTTTAAGATCTACTCTCTTGACAACTTTCAAGTTGTTAACACAGTATTATTAATATAGTCACCATGTTGTATATGAGATTCCCTAGAGCTTATTCATCTTACAGCTGGGAGTTTGTACCTTTTGACCTACATCTTCCAATTTCTCCCACTCCCCAGCCCCAGGCAACCACTCTTCAGTCCTGATTTTATGAGTTCCACTTTTTTGAATTCTGTGTGTAAGAGCATTTGTCTTTCTCTATCTCACATTTCACTTAGTATAGTGCCCTCAAGGTCCACTGATGTTGTAGCAAAGGCAGGGCTTTCTTCTTTTTTATGGCTGAATAACCTTTCACTGTGTGTATATATATCATATCCCCCACATGGTTTTTTTCCGTTCCTTTGTTGACATACATTTAAGTTTCCATGTGTCAGCTACTGTGAATAATGCTGCAGTGAACATGTGAGTACAGATATCCTTTGAGATAGCTTTCTCTTTTCTTTTGGATAT